TCTTCCATCCACCATGCCGTTTGATGGTTTATTGGCCAATAAAGTTGTTGAAGTGCGCTTCATTCAATGGCCAGTATTTGCTTCTGGATTTGCGATATTCAGGAATGAAGCAACAATTGAGGGTACCTTTGCCAATGTGTTGATTCCAACAGACTGAGAAGTACATTTTTGATTGATGTATCTTAAAAAGAATCTGTCTTGTGTTAGGCGAATTGGGCGCAGAGAAATATATTTTCTGCATATTTCAACAGCACTCACGCAAAATCTTTCTTCTATAACTGTAAATGTTCTTAAAATGCCTGTCTTGGTGTCGGGTATTGAAACAAGTAGATAACTGGTCCTGTACGTCACTAATTTTAAAACTGGTCAATTCGTAGCATCGATGGGCACTAGTAACCGCCATTATTAGCGCAACCTAAAATAATTCAAAGTTTAATATATACCTAACAACGTGTAAAAGGTAAAGAGATATTACCTTAATCATTAAATATTCTTTATCGGAAGCCCCCGTCAAAAATTCTTCAATAAGTGCTCTTTCCAATACTGCAGCTTTTTTTAATTTGTATCCTCTGGATTCACTTTTCAAATAAGCAGTAAACTTGTTATATTTTCCAATATCTATATGTTTGTAGACCTTTATAGTAGCCTTCAACATCGAATACTCCCACTACATAGATGAAATCGCATATTTTTTCTTCAAATTTATGATAGCACGACTTCTTCATTTATTGTCATTACTCTCCGTTTTTTCCTCCATTCGTTAAATTCGGCGAACACTTTTCCGTAATGTTCCCTGGCTTTCGTTAGCAATAAATATAAAATTGCTTCTTGAGCTTCTTCAAAAACAGCCACAAGAACACAATTACTTTCTTGCATTTTTACCAAATTCAGATAGAACTATTTATTAAACAATTTATAATAAACAACGTACCATAGCAACCAGTAGGTATAACCTTCAAGCACATACTCCTAGAGGCAGTCTTCAGTGCTGAGAAAGCGCGACTGGTGTGCGAGAGAGAAAGGAAAATAAAACGACATGCTATCTCTCTCGCTCCGCGAGCTGATTGGTCGGGGCTTAGGTGCAGGGCGGTCATTGGAGGAGGGGAGCACGCACCGACCAATCCAGCTCGCGGAGCGAGAGAGATAGCATGCCCTTTTATTCTTCTTTCTCTCTCGCACACCAGTCGCGCTTTGTCATCACTGATGGCTGCCTCTAGGAGTATATGCTCCAAGGGTATAACAAAACCTACCACGTTTCATTGAATACTAGTAAGAAATATCAAGTCGCACAATTTATTGCATTTAATATGTTTTTATTAAATTCCAATAATTCTGACTCCACAAATATGATTGTGATGTGATTATGGGTAAAACGTTGTATTGCATTCGTGTTTTAATTACCTTTTATCCACTTAAGAATATTAAATATTCTTGCGTGGATAAAATGCTACTTTCATCTACTATCAAATTTTTTCATTTATCAATGCACAGTTTCCACAGAGCTTCAACTATCTTTTCTGTTGGTCAGCTGTTACCAGGTCTCATCGAAATTTTGCCTTGGTAATTAATCAAACCTTACATAATGCCGCATTAAAAAATCAAATTTAGTGCCATCAGAAATTAATAACAAGCTGTTTCTTGAATAATATAAGTTATTAGTCCGATAGCCCGCGTAGAATATTAATCACAACGTATAATTAATTACAATAGTCAAGGATATCCTTCATGAATTAGGCCGATTAGAGTTCATCACCCTCAAAGTGAGACAGATATAGGGGGTATAGGTGCGTTCTGCTTACATAGGAATTCGCAAATGTAAATAATGGAATATGATGATTAATCGCCAAATAGTGAAATGCTGTGCTAAAGCTAATATTAGACGATTTGGGAATATGACGGAAACGGAAAGAGGCTCTTTTCAGTTTCCGCGTGGAGCATTTTCAGGGTGGTTAATAAATGATTTTGATTCAACACAAGGGCAGGAAACGTTATACGGAACAAAAAGTGGCGGATATTCATCCACTTTTTAACGGTAGAGAAAGCGAAATGCTAAATCGGATTTTTACAAGTAAAGTGACGGCCTTGTTAGCTCTCTGTAACACAAAAATCCGTTTGTGATATATTATATAATGTTTTTAAAATACCATGCAAAACTCACAAGTAGATACTGTTATAATTAGGTATTATTAATATTTTAATGTCCTATGACAGCATTTGTAATTTATTGGGCAATAAATATACCTACACCAGTCACAAGAATTAAGCGATATTAAAAAAATTCCAAATTTTTGGATTATTTTCAGAGACCAGGAAATATAGAATTAATCGCGACTTTTTGTTTCGGCAAGCTGAATTTATCACTATAGATGCTAAATATTATGTACAATAACATATTAGTTTCCAGAGTCATGAAAATGGGGGAAGACTGTTTACAGGGTGGTTAATTGTATAATTTTTACGTAAATTCACGTTTTTCGCTTATAACTTTTTCCGTTCATTTCCACGAGAAAACAGTAGAGTACTTTTTTCACCCTCAACAGACCTACAAAACTAGCCCTCGAGCGTAAAAACATATTGATTATATCAAAAGTTATGAACATAAGAAATTTATTTATGACTTGAATTAAACATTTATAAACTGCGTTATTATTACTAGAACGTTTTGGCATCTCATCCTCTCATTCCTTATCATTGTCTAATAACTCACACAAAATCTGAAATCGGTAAGTTGAATAGGTTACAAGTTATGGCCTTATAAACAAATTAACTAATTATTAGTCTGGACTATCTCCAGGATCTTCCACAATCACACTGACTTTTTTTCATGGTAGATTTCATAATAATACATTGAAATCTATCATTTTTTTTAAATTTCAAATGTGCAATCTAGAAAATTGTTTTCTTTTTTAGCCATCGTTGCAAAATGAAATATATGACGCACGAGCGTGACATAGTTATATATTATTACATATTCGGAAAGCTTATGAAAAGAGCTTTTAGTTAAAAAGAAATCGTCAAGATTCGTTGAAAAACAACGAAGTAGCAAAATATGAATATTCGGTGAAAATATTTGAAATTCTGTGTATCCTGAGCCAAATAAAATGTGAATAAACATATTTAACAAAATTTTAGTATGTGTTTTTGATACAGTTTGGTGCTAATGTCTGACACAAATTTCTTATTTTAATTTTAAGAAAATAACTTGAAAGAATTTTTCGAATAAAGCGAAATATATACAGAGTAGGTTACTAGTGTGAGAAAGTAAAATAACTCCCTCGTTACTTATAATATAGAAAATAGTTTATATAAAAGTTGTACAGAATCAAGAAACCTAAACTACAAAATTAATTTGATATATACAGGGTGATGAGTAAAAACGGGACACGCCAAAGATTACATTTTTTAAATAGAGCACCCTGTATATTTTTAAACATATGGATTTCCGAGAAAATTCTATATATGGCAAAATAAACAATTTATTATTTTAGTGCGGTGTTGCCAAGTTACGTAGAAAATTCTTCGAATTTTGGAAAAAAACATTACCTTTCAACTACTAACACTTGGAGCAAAAATATTTGACAGAATTATAGACAAATATTAGCAAAATCACCTATATTAGCTAATATCGATACTTTATGCAGGGCATTTTTTATAATACGATAACTTTTAAAAAGTTTAAACTTGATTTTCTAAAATTGTTCAAATGGAACACCCACTATTTTATTGTTCTATTTTATTGACATATCGAACTACTTCAACTTTTATTAAGCATGTTCTATATCTAAAATTGTTAGTTTTTAAGATATAACAACATTTCTGAAAAAACTTAATTTTTATTATTTTATAGAACACATAAAATACATACAATACAATTACAAATAAATATAAACTAATAAAATTAACTCAAAATGGAATGATAAATTATGAACTGACACAATGTGACAGTCTTTTCCAAAGCCATTTCATGCGACCGAAAATAATAGAAATTAGGTTTTTCCAGAAATGTTTCTATATCTTAAAAACTAACAACTTTAGGTGAAGAACATACTTAATACAAGTGGAAGTGGACCGATATGTGAATAAAATAGAACAATAAAATACAGGATGTTTCATTTGAAAAATTTTAAAAAATCAAGTTTAAACTTTCTTAAAATGATCGAATTATAAAAAATGTCCTGTAGAAAATATCGATATTAGCTAATATAGGAGTCTTTGCCTAACATTTGCCTATAGCTCTATCAAAGATTTTTGCCCCAAGTGTTAGTAGTTGAAAGTTAATACAACTTCTTCGAGAATTTTCTACATAACTTGGCAACCCCGCAAAATGTTAAACTGTTTATATTGCTATATATAGAATTTTCTCAAAAATCTATATGTTTAAAAATTTACAGGGTGTTCACCGCCTTGTGTGTTTCAAATTAATTTTGTCCTTAATGTTTTTTGATTCTGTACAACTTTTATATAAACTTTTTTCTGTATTATGAATAACAAGGGAACTATTTTACTTTTTCACACTAATGACCCACCCTGTATAAAAAAATAACATCAAAGAATTTATCCATTTTCCAAAATGGAATGAATTAGTGGCGCTGAAATTCTGCAATTTTGTATGTAATAAGAAAGCCAGTAATTTTTTAAACTCTTTAGATTCCATTAAAGTCCTTTTTCTAAAATGATCCAAGGAAGTACATGCTGAAGTTGACAAAAAAAAAACACCCTGTTTTTAAGAGAATAAAGGCCACGATATGCTTAATCGAAATCGAAATAGTACAAATCCGTCATCGTCGCAAGTATTGGTCTTTTATTCGCGAAGAGTATAATATCTCAGTCCGATGGGGCAATTTCACGGTTTTTCCTAAGACATTTCCAATGCAATTTTCATTACAATACGTGTATTTTCGTTTGCCATTTCGGGATCAATAATTTCACGTAGTCCTGGGAAAAGGGTGCGCGCGCCTCCGTTCCCACCGAACGACCGCCATTATCGGCCCAGATATCGAGCTGAAGAGTCGTCCGCGCTCCAGCTGTCCGCAGACGCTGAAATTGCATGCGGGAGACGATCCTCCGCTGCTGTTTCCCTTAAAATCGTTCATTTACGCGGTGGGTGGTGGAAAACCACTACTTCCGGTGTATGGTGTAAAACACAGTGGCCTCGGATGATTCCACACGCGCGTTTCTCTGGTAAGTACGCGGCCAGCCGCAACCGCTGCTCATTTTCATTCACCCAATACTTCGCGTAATTAGCATGTGCGCAAGATAACGGCGGGGCCTCGCCGTTTGCAGCTTTCCACGGCTTACACGCGTTTTTAATGCCATTGCTAGTTTATTTCGAACAATGCTGAAGTATTAACAGAAAGATTTATGTGGTCCTACCCTGAGATGTGGAAGGATCAGTTTCCAACAGTCCTCAATAAATCCTGAGCTAAAGAACATAATTAAATGTAATAAATAACTACCAATTTTCATATTTTCCTCTAACACTAACCAAGAAAAACTGTTTTACATATCGGTTAACCTTTCTGTTCTCCTACTACTTTGAAATTTTTATTAAGGAGGATATTTTCAGTATCGATAACATTTTGGTATCGCTCCACTAGTTTCAGTATAAAAAAAGAAAGTTTGTGTCCCCACATTAACAATAATTTTACACTATAATATTAAATATTTCTACCAATATCAAAATCCTAAACAGGTAACTATTTTACACTCATTTGAAAAGCTGTCACACATAACAGGTTTTTTTTATTTGCTGCTTTTTTTATTTGGTACTTACTTCTTGCTACTTTGGTCTTTGATAATTTCACATTCAAATTGACAGAAAATACACCTCCACTAGACACTCCTTGTGTCTTTTGACCTTTTAACTTTTAGATGTATGCTTTTTAAATTCATAGTATTCTCTTCATTTTTTGTCGCTGATAACAGCTTTCATACATGGTGTTTTATCAGTAGCAAATTTCAATGCATAACTTTTTTTATATATGGCCAAAACTCGATTTGGACTTGCCCTGTGTCTCAAAAACAAAAAAAAAGGAGGCCTTTTAAAAAATGGTCCTACTTTTTAATGTTCTATCAGCTTCTAAGTCCATATCGCCTTTTTCCAAAACATACACAACTATGTAATTTTTTTATAAAATTATAAAAGGCTCTGGATTCTGGATTTTCCAAATATTCAGTTTATTTTCTCATATTATCCTGCAAAAGTGAATTTCAATGTTACTTACATTACTAATACATTGTGATTAAAATATATTTAATTTTACAATTTCGTTGAACATATTCACTTTCTATTTTCCTGTAATGATATACATTATTGTTTTAAAATTAATAAATAAATAAATTTTATGGATTTTCCACTCCCTAATAATTTATAATTAATATTATGTGTCAATAAACAAAGTATTTCAAAATATTTCATTATTGTAATTTGTTTTGTACATTTATTCACAACCATGATGAATACCAACAACAGCACTTGACATGTCTGCATATGTGACATGCTAATATAATATACAATAAAGGTGTAAACAAAGGTGTAACAACAAAAACTTACTGCGCAGTCAAGATCTGAATCAATATTTTTTGAAAAATTTCTATAAAAAATAGAAACGCAAGATTCTGGTAAAATATGTTTTAATTAATACTTTCACTACTTTAGGTAAAAACTGTAGAATTCAAAAAGACAACATTACCAAATTTTACTAAGCAATAATTTTTTTTGTCGAATTATACGAAAATATTTTTTATACGTAACTACAGATGTGATAGTATTATGAACAAAATACGCGACATTTTTTTTTCAGTGTGTTCTTCACCTGCTGTCTTCTGCTTCATGACCATCTGTCAGAGCAAAATAGTAAGAATGACGCAAAAACAATGAAGGCAAATTAACTTTATTTTTCTATTTAGCATAGATGCTCTGTTAAAGGTAAATAAAGAGAAGTCAAAGTTTATTATAATGCCAAATTTCATGTTTGTACAGAAACTATAAACTCTTTTAGTGTGACGTCACATATTCAAGCAANTTTTAATGTTCTATCAGCTTCTAAGTCCATATCGCCTTTTTCCAAAACATACACAACTATGTAATTTTTTTTATAAAATTATAAAAGGCTCTGGATTCTGGATTTTCCAAATATTCAGTTTATTTTCTCATATTATCCTGCAAAAGTGAATTTCAATGTTACTTACATTACTAATACATTGTGATTAAAATATATTTAATTTTACAATTTCGTTGAACATATTCACTTTCTATTTTCCTGTAATGATATACATTATTGTTTTAAAATTAATAAATAAATAAATTTTATGGATTTTCCACTCCCTAATAATTTATAATTAATATTATGTGTCAATAAACAAAGTATTTCAAAATATTTCATTATTGTAATTTGTTTTGTACATTTATTCACAACCATGATGAATACCAACAACAGCACTTGACATGTCTGCATATGTGACATGCTAATATAATATACAATAAAGGTGTAAACAAAGGTGTAACAACAAAAACTTACTGCGCAGTCAAGATCTGAATCAATATTTTTTGAAAAATTTCTATAAAAAATAGAAACGCAAGATTCTGGTAAAATATGTTTTAATTAATACTTTCACTACTTTAGGTAAAAACTGTAGAATTCAAAAAGACAACATTACCAAATTTTACTAAGCAATAATTTTTTTTGTCGAATTATACGAAAATATTTTTTATACGTAACTACAGATGTGATAGTATTATGAACAAAATACGCGACATTTTTTTTTCAGTGTGTTCTTCACCTGCTGTCTTCTGCTTCATGACCATCTGTCAGAGCAAAATAGTAAGAATGACGCAAAAACAATGAAGGCAAATTAACTTTATTTTTCTATTTAGCATAGATGCTCTGTTAAAGGTAAATAAAGAGAAGTCAAAGTTTATTATAATTCCAAATTTCATGTTTGTACAGAAACTATAAACTCTTTTAGTGTGACGTCACATATTCAAGCAAACCGCAACAAATTGTCATAGTTGAAATTGTACAGACCAAATCCTTGTGTACTATAACAATAATTACTATAGATACTATAAAAATGAACTACTTCAAATTAATTTATTTTTGCAAGAAGTTTGAAATATTCAAGAACAACCAACACGTGTTTGGTAAAATAGATACACTAATGTGCTTAAAATTTACAAAAACGGATATAAAACAATATTCCTAAATTAAATGAAATAAAAATTTAATATTAGCCGTATTATCCCTAATGCGCATGCTTGGGAAGAATAGCCTTACACAGGTGAGATCTTGTTGATCTCCCGTCATCATTAGCGTATTTTCTCTTGTTTAATATTGACGTTTTCTAGTTCTACTAAGTATTTTTATTGTTTTTCTTGGTGTTGTACTGTGTCAGTGTGTTTATTGAGTGTTTTTTTCTTCAAATGGTTTATTACAGACGTACTCTTAACCAATACCAAACTTTTCTTGAATGATATCCTGTTTCGAGGCTACATAAAATTATCTTTTATGCGCAAGCTCAGTTAAGGAAGTAAAATGGTCCACAGACATACAACGCTTTCACTTGCTTGGACTTTGGAACAAAAATCCAATTATAGAACTTTTTACAAAGCTTTCAAATCTTTACGAAAATATTAGTTCGTCTAGTGTAAGTACAGAATAATCATATACCACCCCTTCTACTTTGAAGCCTTCATTGTACCGAACTTGTATTGATTGCTCAAAGAACGAGCTTCATTATCAAATTGTAATCTGTTTTTCGTAACAATGCAGTCTTTTTGGGGAACAGATAACCCTCTAGGCCTTATTTGACCTTTGACTTATTGCGTATTGTAATTACTTCCTACATCAACATATCTTAATTCAACAAATTACTTTTTCGCAACGAAACTTCAGGACCCATCCCCTCTTTGACCTTTTAACGGAACACCCTCAGAGGGCTTGACCTTTTTAACATTATAATTGCATTTTTGATTAATGGCGTATGTTCGAGGCAGTATAATTAAAGTAAATAAATAAGGACTTGAAGTGGCTTGCCATTAAAAATACAACGTTCTCTAAAAATCAGCGTAGTTGTAAAAGTTTTGCTTCTCTTGAAAAATTTTGTGTTTGAATTCAAGGTGGAAGTGAAACTGAATATTTGCTATAATTTCCTGAAAATGCCACACAGCAGTATTTGAAACATATATTTCATGTGCAATGTCGCGAGTACTGCGGTTCAAGTTTTTCTGGACGAGATATACAATATTTTCTCTCGTTTTAAAACACGCTACAATATTTCTTGCAGCTGATGAAATTAGTACATTTCTATTATTTTTAAATAAATTTCCATTCAAGCAGTATGTCAACACCTCCTAATCGAGATCCATTAAAAAAAGTGTTTTATAGTAAACAATTTGAGGAAAAAAATACGTTGTAAGGCGACGTAATTGCTAAGTACACTGTATGCAACAGGGATGGTTTCAAAATGTTCTGTTTCTTCGATTAACATGCACAGTAAGAATTCTCTATTTCATTGGCTTTTATTATATTAAAATAGTTTCGGCCTTGCCATAACCTGTTAAGTGTTGTTGGTATCCATTACAACTGTGAATTATTGTACAAAACAAATTAAAATAAATGAACTCGCTTAAACAACTAGAAGAAGAGAAAAACTGTCCAAAAAATAGAAAATTGCAAATATCTCTGAAAGTAGTAACGGCAACCCTAACAATGCTTATATGGCTCGAAAGGAAATTTTAAACTCCATACAACAGAGTAAAAAATACAGGGTGTTAATTTTAAGTTAACAAATTTATAGCTGTTTGAATTTGTCAAAATGTAATAGCAGAAATGGACCACCTAGTATTAAATGTTTTAATTTATTGGTATACCATGATTTAGTGTTACCTATGCCCTTTACAGGTAACAAAAATCCATTTAATATCACGCTCTTGAAAAGAGATACTAGCGCAGATATTTACATCTGCCAAATTTTTTCTTTAAAATCTCAGAATTTGTAACTCCTAGATATAGGGAATATTTAATAAAGTGACCTTCAAATTTCACGTAGAATCCGAAAATACAATAATATATAATAATTTAAAATAAGAAAAGTCAATGCCGACTTGCGGTATAACCGGAAGTGCCATAAAGTCCTAAATATTTTAGTTGTGTTGGCCCTAGTGCCTTTGCTAGGTTGCC